ACAATGTCATGATATTGCTGTCTGGTACAGCAGGAGCTGATGACAGAACTTCTGTCATGTGGATTAATCAGGATGTCATTACTAATGTCATGACATCGCTGTCTGGTACAGCAGGAGCTGCTGTTTTATATCACTTGACAAAAGCAGTAAAGCAATATCAAGTATTGTGACTTTGAAGAGTGTCTTCTAAAGTCTGTCTTTTGTATTGAATTGTTTATCACTGCGGTGATTGAGGGGGAGTGAGCGGGGTCTCTTGTCTAGTGGATTCTAGGCAGAAATTGCATTGGGTAGAGATTAAGTGAGGAGTTGTAAACGGGGGAGTTTAGCTCTGAATTGATTATGCTAATAGTGGATTTCCTTCCTGGCTTGGTAGCCCCCAGATGTAGGTCAGGTTGCACTGAACTAGGTAAACAATTCATTGTGTTATTTATCTTTCAACATTTACAATTCTGCACAATTTAAATGGTTAGATAAATAATATGTCTGTCTGCTGATGTTACAACATTGGTCATGACATTGGTCATGAAATTGGTACAATTTAAAGTAATTTAAATTGGTCATGTTTTGTCCTCGTCCTTGTTTCAGCAGAGATGAATGTTCTTTTCATCTCTTAGAACATATGAGATCTGCATACCAGAATTTCAGACATTATCTTCATATGAATCTTTCAACAATTGCATTCTGGGTTCAGCTAGAGTCGAAGTTGGGGTGCAATCTTGCATCTCAAATCTCTTGAGTATTTCGCCTGCATATCTTCTTTGGTGCATCATCAAACCTCTACCACTTTTGTAGAATTCGATCCCAAGGAAATACGAGAGATTTCCCAAGTCTAACATTTCAAACACCCCACTTAGGTCATGTTTGAAATCTTTGATCTCCTTCTTGCAACTTCCTATTATCAACAGGTCATCGACATAGAAACATAGTATAAGCAATTCACTATTGCTTTTTCTTACATATACTCTATGCTCATTCGTGCACTTCACAAATTCCTTCTCCCTTAGAAAGCTATCAATCTTTTTATTCCAAGCTCTTGGAGCTTGCTTAAGTCCATACAAGGCTTTATGCATCCTGTACACTTTTTTTCTTCGCCTTGTTTCACAAACTCAGTTGCTTGTGCAACATAAAATTCTTCATCTAAGAGGCCATTCAGGAATACACATTTCACATCCATCTGACATATGTGCCAGTTTTCATGTTTTCTAGACCAACAACCAGCCTGATTGTTTCGATCCTAGCAACGGGTGCAAAAACTTCATCGAAGTCAATTCCTTCTTTTTGAATATCCTTTCGCCATAAGTCTTGCCCTGTGTCGAGTTACTTCTCCATTAGGATTCAACTTCACCTTGTATAACTAGTTCACATTGATTTCCTTTTTGCCTTGAGGCAATTCGACAAGTGACCAAGTGTTATTGACTTTGATGGACTCTAGTTCCTCATTCATTGCTTTCACCCACTTCGAATCCTTTAATACCTCAGCTGTATTGACTGGTTTAACATTTGCATATAAAGCATAGTGTACCATCTCACCTTCTTCATTAACCACATCATCTGATGTAATCACACATTCTTGCAACCTTGCAGGCATGTGTCTTGTTCGTTGAGGTCTGCTTGGGCCAGCTTCACCTCAAACTTCTTCTTGTCAAACTTCTCTTTTGACTTCACTAGTTGGATCTTCACATAAGATTCTCACTGAATCGTTCTTAACAATTTCCAGTCCAATCTCATTCCTTAAGCTCATCTATAATCGCGTCCCTGCTGATCACTACTTGCTTGTTCAATGGGTCGAACAACTTGTATCCTCTAGTTGAATGATATCATATTAGGATCATTTGAATCAACTTATTATCAAGCTTTCTTCTCAATTGATCAAGCACATGTCTATGTGCTATAGATCCAAACACCTTCAAATGACTAAGGCTAGGCTTGACAGCAACCAACATTCTTTTGGCATGATTCCTTCTAACTTCTTTATCAGACATCTATTTAAGATGTATGTTGCTGTCGACACCCCATAATCCTTTGGGTAGATGCTTTCCTTTCAACATGCTTCTCACCATATTCATGGTGGTTCTATTCTTGCTTTCTGCAGTTCCATTCTGCTGTGGAATATAGGGTGGCACCACCTCATGCACAATCCCTTCTTTCTCACATAATGTATCGAAATATTTTGACACATACTCTCTACCACCATCAATCCTCAAAATCTTTAGCTTTCGAACACTTTGTCTTTCGACCATAGATTTAAATTTGAAAAATACCTCGATCACTACATTTTTCTTCTTTATCAGGTAATTCCGCAGTTTTTGAATGAAATCACCTATGAACGTGACAAAGTATCTGTTTCCTCCAATCGAATCCACCCGGATAAAACCACATACATCATAATATATTACTTCAAGAATTTCCTTTGACTTGTTTCCTGCATCCTTGCTGAAGCTATTCTTGTGTTGTTTTGCTTGAACACATTCTTCACACACTTTGCTTGAAATGTCGATTTCTGGTAATCTTGAAACCATATTTCTTCTCTTCAAATCTCTGATGTCTTTAAAGTTCAGATGGCCAAGTCGATAATTCCATATCTATTCATCTCTTCTGGCTGCAGTTGCAAGACCCTTATGCTCCATCAAATTAAGCTCAATCTTGAAGGTTTTATTTTGAGACATAAGAGCCTTCAAGATTAACCTTCCTTATGAGTCAAGAACTCTCATCATCTTGTCTTCGATCGACACCTTGTGATTCTTTTTGATTAACTACCCTATATTGAGAAAATTGCTCTTCATTCCTGGTATGTTTAACACATTGGAAATTACTAACCTCTTGCCATCTTTCCTCATAATTAGAACATCACAAATACCTTCAGCTGCTAGAGTATTGTCATTTGAAAATTTCACCATGTTCTTCATTGAGGGCTTTATGTTGACAAACCAATCTTTCTTTTCAGTCATGTTTGATAAGCATCTTGAGTCCAAGTACCATTGGTCTTGAAATATTTCTTCATCTCTTGTTGTAACCATCAGCAACATCTCTTCTTCTTCATGTTTCGCCAGCTTTGCATCATTTTCTTGATTCTTTTTTTTTCCTGGGCAATCACTAGAATAATGACCATACTTATGACAATTGTAACACTGAATGTGACCTTTGTCATGTTTTCGACCACCACCTCTTCCTCTACCTCCAGCACCACCTCTTTGGTTGCCTTGGTTCCAGGGTTTTCTCTAATTCAACTAGTTTTCTTCTTGCTGATTTCAACCAATTGAATTATTGTAGCCTCCTCTTCCTTTCTTGTCATTCCAACTTCCTTTGCCTTTCTTTTCTTTTTCTTACTGCACATGGAAAATCATGTCACTATTCGATTTTCCTACAGCTCTTTCAACCATCCTTTGTTCATGAGATTCAAGCGCCCCTTGAAGCTCTTCCTTCGTCAATACTGACAAGTCTTTCAACTCTTCTATGGCTACTACCACATGGTCGAACTTTGGAGCCAATGACCTTAAGATCTTTGCAACAACTGATCATGATGTCAACACTTCTCCACATACTTTAATTTGATTCACCAGTTTAGTAACCCTAGTGAAGAAATCAGTTACCTTTTTACTTTCTTCTATCTGAAGCAATTCATACATCCTTTTGTGAGTTTGTAACCTCACCTCTTTCACCTTTTCTGCGCCTCCAAATAATTTTTCCAAGATTTCCCATACTTTTTTTGCTGATTCTACATCACCAACCTTTTCAAAATTATCTGGATCAACATATTGATGAATTATAAAGAGAGTTTTATAATCTTTCTTCTTCAATTCTTTGTATGTAGTTTTTTCTTGATCCGTCGCGTTTTCTGCAGGCGTTGCTACTCCTCCCTTCACAAGATCCCAAAGATCTTGATAATAGAAAACCACCTTTATATGCTTACACAAATTCTCATAATTATTGTTCTTGAGAATTGGAAGGTTCGTCGAAAAATGCCTGTTTGGGTGATTCAGCGCCATCGTAATTGTTTTCCCTCAAATCACAACCAAAACTCTAGATACCAGATGTTGGAATTAACCCAAAACCTTTTGAGAATTCCTAGTCAATCTTGATTCCAAGAAAAATTATGCGCAACAACTATTAATGAAAAAACGAGAAAGAAAGAAAGAGTTTGACAAAATTAAAGGAAGGAGACAATGATTTTCAATTACGGAATCTCCGCTCACTAACTGTGGAAAACTTCTTTATTCACTTTGCAACTACAAAAATCTGTGAAATTCTGTGTCAAAAGGCCCAAAATTAAGTTAATTCGACTAATCTTTATTTCTGTCGAGCTACACTGCTTCAACATAAGAAATTACAATTTTAACACACAAAGCCCATTAAACCACTAACCACATGCAACAGTTGAACTCAACCTTGAACTTGTTTGAACATAATTTTTTAAATATAAAAACAAAGAGCCAAAAATATTTGCTCCCCACATAACCCGATGCCATGGCACCCACGTAGATGCTCGCAAATTAAATGAGCCACATCACAACAATAGAGTAGATGGAATAGAGACCCGTCGACATTAAAGCAAAACAGACAAGTAGAATTACATAAAATAATATCTCTTCTCAATAAATTCAACTTTGTAGGTAATAACCTATTCAACAAACATCTTCAACCAAAAAATTAAATTTTACTCGTCATCTTCGGTCTCCAAATATTCAATCCTTTATCAACTATTTTGATTTTCTCCAACTCTAAATATTAGTGTATATATTCACTACATAAAAAAAATATAAAAATCCAATTCTACACAAAATTTTCTTATGCTTTCCACTCAACTAAAAAAATGACAAATTAGTATACATACATGAAGATATTATTCTTTACAAAACTTTTCAAATACAAAATGTAAAAAATCAAGGTGATTAGAAGAACAAAAACACGATCAAATTAATGTCAAAACTTAACTATGCTTTCTTAAAAAATCGAAATTCTCCTACACCTTCCACACACAATAAATTTCCTATATCTATGTCTCACAAATTTATTGTCACACCTCTTGCACCATTAACATAAGGTGAAACTCCAGTGGTTCCGGTATTTAATGAACCATGCCTAGTTGGATCATATTTTTCTCCATCACCCCAAAGAGCATAAGCTTCCTCGCCGTGAGCCGCATCGTCACCGATTTCGAGCTGCTCTTCGGGCATTCTCAAAGGTATGAACAATTGTATGACAAGGAGGATGATTGTGGTGGAGACTATGTTCCATCCAATAACAAACATGGCTGCCACTAATTGCTTTAGAAATTGTACACCACCACTTCCGCCATAGAATGCACCTCTTGAATTGGTCACCGGCAATAGTAGTCGACATAGGGCCGGCTCGGCGAAGAGTCCGGTGAGGAGGCCGCCCAATAGGCCAGCCACAGCATGTGTGTGAAATACTCCAAGAGTGTCGTCAACCTTAATACAAAGAACAAGTAAAGTGTCATTTTCATTACAATTTGTTTATTAGCACATATATCTTTTTCAGGTAATTTTTTATAGGAAAATTATTATATTGATTAAAAATAATATATTAGACAAAAAAAAAGGTGGTTGGAAATTGGAATCAATGGTATATTCTGGGGTCAGTGGTCAATTTTTCCAACATTGAATGAGGGTATACAAACATGTGAGCTAGCCAAAGGGACCTTCCCCTAAACTTCTTCCATTAACATGGGAATATAATATCTTGTCAAACTATTCATGTATTATTATAAAATAATTGACAGTTACTATTATTTTATAAAATATCAATGGTGTTTGGTCAAAAATAATAAAATATCAATGGTGGTGTCATCTACTATGAACCAAACTATATGTTTAAAATATATTGCATTTCTTCATTTATAGAATATAAATATTTTATAAATAAAAGAATGACAAGAGAAAAAGATCAAATGAAGTGTACTAAATATAAATATAAAGAAGTCAAAGTTTTTTTAGAAAAAAAAGAAAAAGATCAAATGAAGTGTACTAAATATAAATATAAAGAAGTCAAAGTTTTTTTAGAAAAAAAATAAAGAATAGATGGAAGAAACATTTCCATAATTTATTTAGTGACGAATTTGAGATCTTCAACTAGATATTAGAAAAGATTATCGTTGGAAAATTCAAAAACACGAGGTAAAATAAATGTTGAAAAGGATAAATAATAACAATATAGTTCAGTCAGACAATATATCTATTAAACTGTAAACTAGCTATAAAGATATAGATATTTAGCGAAGTACCAAACCGTTTAAAGAAATAATAAAGTAAAACAAAATGTCAAATAAATGAAGAATAAACACTTTAATTTCAATCTATAAGAATAAGAGGCGGATAGCTTAAACTTATGAGTCATACATGAAGTTATGAAAAATAGTGATTGAGTAGAGACTAAGAAAGGAGACTTAAAGTTACTAATAATCAATTTGATTTTATGTTTAAGAAGTTGACCATGGAAGCGATCTTTCTACTACGTTATGTGTTGGGCAAGTAACATACGAATCAACAAGACTTTTAATTTTTATTGAGTTGGAGAATGCATATGATAAAGCGACTAGAGATTTTGTGAAAAATTCTAAAGAAAAATGTTAGAATTGCCGATATTCAAGCTATTTAAGATATGCATGAGGAGGTCTCAATTAGTGCGAGGACACAAGGTGAGAAAAACATACGATTTTCCTCTAAAAAATGATTGCACCAAAATTCAGTTCTAAACCCTTACTCTTTTTACTTTAGTTTTAGATGTATTTTCAGAACACATCCAAGAGCTAACACCGTTATGTATTTTTTTTTTTTTTTTTGCATATTTGTATAGTTCTACTTATAGAGTCAAAGTATTAGTTAAATGAGAGGTTGAAGAGGGCCCCTAAAAGGATATGATTTTCATCTAAACAAAAGTAAGACAGAATAAGAAATGTAAGTTTAACTAAAGAAGAAGTATTTCTAACTTAGAGATAAAAGTTAGAGATCATATCATATTATATGTTACACGATTTAAATATCTTAAGTCCATAATTCAAAATGATGGGGAAATAAAAGAAAATGTAAACCTTTGAATTCAAACAGGGTGGTTAAAATGAATGAGAGATTTATGGATATTATGCGCATGAAAGTACGGTTCAAATTGAAGAATTTTTTTATCGGATTGTTGTAAGACCAACGATATTGTATTTAATGATATGTTGGATGGTAAGGAATCAACACAAAATAAAATAAATATAACAAAAATGATGATGTTGCATTTGTGCATGTAAAAAGAATGCATGTGAATTATGTAATAAAAATGGAGAGTAGCCATACAAGGAAAGGAAAGATTTAGATGAATATCTAAAAAATATCATAAAATAAACTTTTAGATAAAGTTTTGAAATTTAAGCTATAGATAGAAATATGATTTTTAATACAACATTATAAGGTAGTTTAATTCATGTAACGGCCCCACTTACTAGAATAATATAACTAGATTATTTTTGTTGTTTGATATATAAAATAACAATCATTTAATTATATTATCCCTTTTTAATTAATATTATCTACACTCGTTAAACTCTACTAAATATTTAATATAGTGACAGTCAATTAATAATTTTATAAACTTATATTGTTTTAAATTAATTTAAAATTATTTTTAAGCTTTAAAAAAACATAGAACGAAAGTTATTCTAGAAGAGAGGAAGTAAAAGTAGTAGCCACCTCACCACCATTTCACTAGCATTAATTGTTTAAAAAAACTTTTGACTCTAAGGTGAGTCCTCTATTTTCAACTAATCTTTGTTCACATTAGAGTTTGAACATCAATCATTCACTTCAAGATGTGTGAATCCCTTATCATTTGAAAGGATTAGATGTGTGTAAACCAAAAGATAATTAAGTCATAGGAGTGACTAAAATTGACAAAAATTGAATGTGAAGAGAAAGAGAAAGTGTACCTTTTGTAGAAGACTTGATTTTTTATGCAAGATCATCATGGATACCCATGGAATGCTCCCGGATAGTATTCCCATCACAATAGCTGCCCACGATTGCACAAGACCTACATCATCATCATCATGCATTTATTGTCAACAAAAACTGCAACTATGGTGTCACTAATGGATTCATTATGATACTAGCTACTTTTTGTGGCAAAAGTGTGCCAACAAACATTATTTGAGTAATAAATGTTCAAATCCAACAACCATATAGTTTCTTAGATTTCATTAACATAAAATTCATGAACCCAATCCTATCATGTGTCCATTATGTAATTCCATCCATTTTGCACTCATTTCAACCATTCATATGTATTTTTCAATCGGTTCCAAACCCATTCTTTTTGTTTTTGTTTTTTTATGGTCAATAGACAATTAAGATATAGGGAAGAAAATAAAAAAATATTAATAAATAATTAAATTGATCAATTCAAAATAAAATATTACAAAAAAGTTTAGATTATAAAAAATTGTGTTAATTTACAATAACAAAAAAACTAACTTATATAATATATTACATTAATATGCAAGAAAACTATAAATTTTACTTGAAATAGAGTAATAATAGAAAAATAAAGTCCGAAAATGATGCTACTCAATACTAATACTTCACCATTTTATTTGTGCCATGCTTTTGGGATTAAACCACAAATTAAAATGGCTTGAAACATGGGTAGGAGAAAATTGTTTTTAGAAATTCATATTTTCAATTACCACAACAGATAAAAAATATTTAATAGTATATAGAACTTAATTAGATAGATTGATTGATTAGTTACAAGTTAGTTAGATTAACTAATTAGTTAGCGTTTGTTATAAATTAGTTAATTTGTTGGTAATGTATCTCTTTCATTCAAATTCAATACGAATTCTAAAGGTTTTTTTTAGCAATTTCTCAAATTTATTGGTCATACGAAATTGATATTCATTTCTTGATCTCATTCTTCTTCGTAACAATTATGATTAAAACGCATGAAAGAGAGTCAAATCCGAAGACTTTTCCATCAAATTGAGGAGTCTCACTACTTAGGTAGGAGATTCAGATTTCTTATCCACATAACTTAATCAAACTACTCATGTATTGCAATCAAATTCAATTCAAACTCTCCTACTAAACATTTTCAATGTTCAAAACAAAACAAGTATTCACCAAAAGCAACAATCTGATGCATACATACATACCTGCTCCTGGTGTGATACACACAAGTCCAGTCATCATACCCTGAACAGCTCCAATCACAGAAGGCTTCCCAAAGAAAACAACATCAAGAGTTGTCCAAACAAGAAGACTAGTTGCTGCACAAATGTTTGTGTTCAACACAGCAATCGAAGCTACAACATTCGCTGCATATGGTGCTCCACCGTTGAACCCCGACCACCCCATCCATAACAATCCAGCTCCTGCAAGCATCAGCAACACATTGTTTGGTGGAAACCGTTCCCTATCACTCTTTATCCTTGGCCCAACCTGCACATACAATTTGTCACCACAATCAAAAACCCAAATCGCCGCACAAAAATTGGATCATCGTAAGTGAAATCGCAGTCGAGTTCAATTCCAGTCTAAAACTGACTAATTCAAGCAGACCAATCAGAGTCGCACCATCCACTAGCAAGGGCTCATTTAAAGTCAAATTAAAACTCTATATGGACCATCTAAACACAAAGATGGTTAACACTTAGCAAAATTCAAATCTAAGACCTTGAAAAAAACATTACTCTCAGATCTCAAGTCTTCACCAACCGGTCAACCGTTGGGTTTAGTCACACTTTACTTAATTATTGGCTGAATTTTGGATTATGATAGTTGATTTCTTTAAGCAGAATTAAATCAAGGGTAATGAGAAAGAGGAGAAAATATAAGTACCCAATAAGCAGCAGTGAAACCAGCGATTCCAGAAGATAGATGAATAACATATCCACCAGAGTAATCAATAACACCCCACTGATAAAGAAACCCACCACCCCAAAGACTAAAAGCTCCAACAGTATAAGAAAAAACCAGCCAAAGAGGAACAAAAGCCATCCAAGCTTTAATATTCATCCTCCCAAGAACCGAACCCGCCAATAAAATCATGGTAATAGCCGCAAAAGTGAACTGAAAATAAACAAGCGAAGCCATAGGAAAAAACGGTTCTTCCATAGCTGATTCAACATCACCATTCTTATGAAAATGAGTACTCGCAGGTACTCTTGCTCTTCTAACAAGAAACTTCTGTCCTAAAGCTGGTGCTCCTTTCCCCCAAAACGGTAACAGCTTCTCTCCAAAAGCCATTCTGTAAGCAACAAGAACCCAACAGATTAAAACTGCCGCAAAAGCATAAAGTGCCATGAAAGCTGAATTCACAGCCCATTTCTTTTTCACTATGCTGGCGTAGAGAATCACGAGACCTGGCATGCTTTGAAGACCTACGAGTGTTGCTGCTGTCATCTGCCATGCGTTGTCTCCTTTGTTTAGCCATTCTGGTGATGTTAGAAGATTTGCTTGGTATGCTGGTGCTATTGCCATGCTTTTGAATTTTGATTTTTGATTCTATCAAAGGTATGTGGAAAATTTAGTAATTGTTTCAGATGAATTAGCGTTTGATTATATATAGTGAAATTGATTTACATGGAGTTGAAAACTTGAATACTTGGGTTGAATATTTGGAAACTACGTGTAAACTCTTGGTGGGTTCTCACAACAAGTTGGAGTATTTTAACTCAATCTAGAAAGTATAGTTTTTATTGTTTTTTTGTTTCTAAAACTTTTGACTTTTAGATGAGAATGATGGGGTGGTGTGGTTTAAGAGTAGAAGGGGAATTTGAATTGTAATCAACTTATTAGAGTGCAAAAAACGATTTTTTAGATATTAAGTGTATTTTTATTTTACACATATAATTGATTCTAAAATTTAAAATTAATTTCGTTAGGTTTAATTGTGTATTTTATAAAATTTTGATTTTATTTCTAGCATTGATTTAAATTTACAATTTGGATTTATATTTAATTTTTATACTAAATTTAATATTCAACTCACTTTTAAATAAAAGAATGTATAAATATATAAATTAATTTTTCTTTAACTCACTTTTAAATAGAATTAATTTTATAAAATTAATTTATCCAAAATCAAATTATATCATCAAAGAACCAAATATATATTAATACATTAGACATAACTTGTACTCCAACTCTAGCCATGCGTGTTACATTTGTATAAAATAATTAAGAAAATATCTTAAATAGAATATTATTTTTAATTTTTTATATAATATTATCAATATTTTGAATTGTTTTTTCTAATTAATTCAAAGTTTTAATTTTTTAATATTATGTTTATAGTTGGATTTAGGACTAACCGATCTAGTTGAATCTATTTTACATAAATTAACTAGCATGATAAAACAGGCCGGTTCTGTCAAATTTTAAGCCCGTCAAAAAAGGCGAAGCAGATAAGCCCTCAAAGTAAGATTGGATTTAAAAATTAATTCCGTTGAGATGACGAGTTCATCTATTTCTTAAATTTTTATTTTATTTTTTAATAGATTAATTTTTTTTTCATTTCAATTAGAAAGCACCAAACCAACAATTAAAAAGTATAAAAGGGCAACTAAAAGTCTAAAACTATTAAGAAATTTCACCTAAAATAAAACCATTAACAAGAGTCTCAAAACTATAGTTCAAGTACTAACACGCCATTTTTTTGGCGGACTTAAGGCAGGACGAATAGACGAACATAAAATCTCAATCCAACCAGTCATATTATATCGGGTGCACGGATCGTACCGACGAGCCATGACCCATTTTATCACTCCTATATTAAACCACCTAAATTGACATGTCAATACATAATAAGATTAATAACAATTTTCATCTCTATATTTTATTTCACACAAAATTAATTCTCATATTTCAAATTTAAACAATTTTGATATTCTTTTTATACTTTTGCAACAAAAATTAATAATATATCTATTTTTAATGACGTATAATTTATATATTTTTATCTTTAAAGTTCTACAAAGATTCACATTAGATAATTTACTAATATTTTCATAACTCTTTGGTTACATTTGTTAAAAATATTTTATCTGAACCATTTTTAGGGATGAATTATCTCCCATTTTTTTCGTATTTTGAGGTGGGAAAATGTATCTGACTACACCGAAGATTAGCCACGTGTTGCCACCTTTGCCCCATGTAGAGAGAATAAAGCAATTAAACCCTTACGAGATGTATCTTGACCACACTGTAGCAGATGACATTGTCTTTTGTCCATACGGCAGTCACCGCCAAAAGCGTCAGTTGGACGTTATTTCGTTATATTTCGATGGCTCGCTTGTAGGTCGGGTCTGATGTATGCGTATCTACCCAGGCGAGTGATGCACTAGTTTAGAAATTTGTAAGTTATTCCAATACACCCCTCTGAATCTACTCATCTCACTACGTGCCGTAAAGATCTTGATGTCATACTTGAGGATCTCGATAGTGTTCTGGTACCAGAGGAATATCGTAGGGTGTCATCTATTGTACGATAGACTCATGCAGACGGGCTACATCACATGGTTCTATAGGGTGTCACATCCTATCATGATATCGGACGCTCCTAAATAGGCCATTTAATTAGGAGGTGCTGGAGGCTAGGGATGACCACACTCAAGAGGTGTTGTAGATCTCTGTGTATTGTGGATATGGCGAGATCGAGCATAAAAGCTGAACTTTTTGGGGAAAGAATTCCTCAATTAGCCTTTATTGAAGGCACTATTTCTCAAACACATAATGTCTTTCCGTAGAGGTGGAGAAGAAACCAGGGTTAGACATATCCAATAATTTATGTTTGTTTGTATTATATATTGTATTTTCGAAACAAATTATGTATGGTCGATACATTTTGATTTTAATTTAATTAAGGTATGAGTTTTTTAATGTATGCATACTATATTTGAACTAATTTTGACACTATTAATTGATCTTATGATAAAAATATGCCTAAAATGACCTAAAATATAAGTTGACTTTAAAAAAGGTCAAAGTTAGGACAATGTTTGCAGTCTAGAATGCATTTCAGGATATTTTCAGAGAGACATCTCCAAAATATCCTATGTCATGTCTAATAAAGACGCTTCCAATAACTTAAAATGAAGTTAGGAAATTTTGCGGAAATCCATCTTTGGATGCATTCTAGAACAAATACAGAAATGAAGTTAGGAAATTTTGCGGAAATCCATCTTTGGATGCATTCTAGAACAAATACAGAGTTGCATCTCCGGAATATACTATGGAAAAAAATGGAGCATGTGGCTGAATTAGAAGGACTGTTGTGATTTTGAATGCTTTGAAAAAGTATTTTCAGACACAGTAAGAATATTTTTAGATTTTCATAAGTGTAGAGCGCATCCTATTCTAAAATGAGATAAGTATTCTCCTAAATTTAAACGACCTCTTAGCTTAATTACCTCGTTGTTGGGTTGTCCGTTCATTAGGTCTCTTTTTGTTGTTGGATCAAGAATGTTTGGACCGCACATGTTATGAGAATTTCTTAATAGATCCTATATATTATTGAGGCACTGTGCAAAATTAAAAAAAATGTCATTAATTTTTAGAGATGTGTCTCCAGATGCACCTCTTACACACATTTTTATTTGTTTTTTTTAGTCAAACCTAGGGGTGAGCAAGGGACGGGTCGGGATGGGTTATGACTAACCCTAACCCTGTCCTAAATTTTGATCGGGTTATTTTAATGACCCTAACCCGTCCATACCTAAACCCGTAAAAAATTCCGATAATATATCATCACCTTTTTTCCCCCTAAAACATAGTAAGAAGATGTAAAATAAAAAACATGATGTAAAAGAACATATGTGCACTTAGTATTTACTTAGTGCATATATTAAATTATGAGGTGAAAAGTGGAAAAATCTATTGAAAATTTGGAATAATTTAAATATACCAATAAATTAAATAAATAAATAAATAGTATCACATGTCCATTCATAATATTAGGATGGATTGGGTAATCCGAGGGTCAACCCGAACCCATCTCACCTATATTGAGTTGGGACGGATCTTCGGGTTGGGTTGAGTTCTGCTCACCCCTAGTCAAACCCCAATTATATGAATAAATTTATTTTAAAAATTTATTTTTGAAAAATTTTCAAAAACTAAAAAAAATAGAAATACAGTGTATCAAAGCCACCAAGAAGGACACTCATACAGCGTATCAAAGCTTCTATTTGGACTTATATCACAGAGTCAAAATTTGATTTTTAGATTTTCGTTTTGTTTAATTATGAAAATGGAAATTAAAACAAAGGTTTGATCTACCACATATACATTTTCAAACTGACACCACAATGTCATGCAGAAATGAATTCCTTCAACTTATTTATTGTGTTAGTGTTTTTCTCTGTGTTCTTTTAAGATCTTGTTATAAAGACAAAATGGGATAATTGAATAAACATACTTATCTAAATTTAAAACATCAACTATATATTATAGCAAAGAATTTACTATAATTTAATATGCACAATTTAAGACGTGTTTGGTTGAGCTGTTATTTCTTTTTTTAAGAAATGAAAAATCTAAAAATTGTAAATTAAATTTCTAAACGTATATTTATTTGATATTTTAAAACTTCTTATTTTATAGTATTATTTAAAGTGTGTGAGCCTAATCAATAAAACTAATTGACAAAAAAAGATGTGGGTTGGAGTGATTGATGGGTCTAATTATCTATAAAGACAAGATGGGATAATTGAATAAACATACTTATCTAAACTTAAAACATCAACTATATATTATAACGGAAATATATTTACAAGTTTATTTTTAAATAACAAATTTTTAATAGTTAATATTATTTTTTATTAAATATTAAATCAATAATCTTTAGCATTTTTAAATTTTAGTTCAACTAGCTCAAATAAGTTGAGCTATTCCTTCCCATATATTCTATAAAGTTATTTGAAAACTTAGATCGAGAATAAAACACTATATTTTTTTTTTTTTTGTAAGTGTTAGAACATATAAAATCTCTAATGGTGAATATTTCTTTCTTTTAAGAATATATATATATATATATATATATATATATATATATATATATATATATATATATATATATATATATATATATATATATATATATATATATATATATATATATATATATATATATATATATATATATATATATATATATATATATATATATATATATATATATATATATATATATATATATATATATATATATATATATATATATATATATATATATATTATATATAGAGAGGAGAGAGAGAGAGAGAGAGAGAGAGAGAGAGAGAGAGAGAGAGAGAGAGAGAGAGAGAGAGAGAGAGAGAGAGAGAGAGAGAGAGAGAGAGAGAGAGAGAGAGAGAGAGAGAGAGAGAGAGAGAGAGAGAGAGAGAGAGAGAGAGAGAGAGAGAGAGAGAGAGAGAGAGAGAGAGAGAGAGAGAGAGAGAGAGAGAGAGAGAGAGAGAGAGAGAGAGAGAGAGAGATGTCAT